GATTGTTACCACCGTCTCAAATCGGAAAGCATCAACTACTGGGATGACATGGAAAGCTTATTCCTAGACAATTTCTTTGATGATGACACCGAGGTATCAATCGAGGATACTCTTTGAGGAGAAACAGGAAGACAAAGAGACAGTCGATGACTTCATTAAGCGCTTCCGAAATAAGGTGATGAATTATCGAGATCCAGTCACAGAGGACTTCATCCTCTAAACCTATCATAACAACCTATCCATTGATACTTTGGAAGTTATGGGAGTATCACCCTACAACACCTGGAAAGAGTTGAAGGTGCGCGGATAGCAGGCCGAACACTTCCTCATAAGAAAGAAAGCCGAAAGAAGCCAACCGATGGTTAACCCTCCGAACTTAAGCTTCGTCTCCCGTGGTAAGGGGAAGACACCTACAGCAATTGTTGACATTAATTAGATGTTCGAACAACAACTCCGTAGACAACAAAAGACTTTGGATCCGAGACTCCAAAAAGAGTGCTCCTTCAAGGATGAAGAGATTCTAGCCATTTTCGAATCCCTCCTTGAAAACAATAAGATCAAGCTACCCCCTATTGCAAATCAGGAGGAAACTGACAATACTTTGGATCCAAAGTACTATGCGTACCACAGAAGGATCCTTCATTCCACCAAGGCTTGCTTCGCTCTCAAGAATAGCATTCAAACCTTGGTTGAAGCTGTCGTCATAACGCTAAATTAAGCCGAATGCACACTCCGAAGAGTATACGAATATAAACTGCTTCTCAATCCTCTAATAGGTGCATGAGGATGAACTGCTCCATGCATACTCCAATAGGTATATGAGTCTAAACTGTTTCTTTTCTTTCACAGGAAGTTCCTAGAGAGTGTCATACCTGGTATTCTTAAGGATAACCCGGTCATCCAACTAAGTATAATGTTAGATCCGGTTTCACAAAGGAAGCTGGGGGTGAATGATTCATGTAACGAGAAGTTCCCGGAAGAATGATATATAGTATATTCTTAGGAATAACCCGATCACTACAAAAAAGTGATAAATGAGAAACTCCCACTCGGACTCTGAATGTTCAAGGGTGAAACACATCTCATTGTCGGGATTAATTCCACCAACTTCCAAGTACTCTTTTGCTGAGATGAGATTTGATCACTTCGTTGGATCAATCTTCCCTCACAAAAAAATCCCGCTGGTGTTAACGATTTACAATCCTCCACCACAAAATCCCTCACTAATCAAATTAATTGACGGTGGGTCCACTAAAATTCTTACTGGTTTAATCCACTCAAAATCTGCTGTGTCTATGCACTCAACACTCCCACTATTAGAGTCCAGATATAATGCTTGGGATTTTAGTCTACTAATCTTTGACAATTGTCAAACCCCTTCGTGTTAAGTCATTATCACTTGACACTAAGAACCCCTATTGCGTGATTTGTATAAGTCAACACTCCCACTGTGATTTGTACTCCCACTCCCACTGTCCACTCGTTCAAACCTTCCCATAGTTAGGACCACAACCAAAATCCCCTCTCGATTCTTTCCATGAACGAGAGGTCCACAAATTGATCAATCAGACCTTTAAACAGTTAGGATTGTCTCAAACTTCCCACTCGGTCAAACCTTCCTATAATTAGGGCCAAAACCAAAATCCCCTCTCGATTCCTTCCATGAATGAGAGGTCCACTTTCAAATCGAGTGATCAAACCTTCCTACAGTTAGGGTCGTCTTAAACTCCCACTTGGCCAAACCTTCCTATAGTTAGGGCCAAAACCATAATTCACTCTCGATAAACGAGAACCTTTAGTTCGGTAATCAAACCTTCTGATAGTTAGAATTATCTGAATCTTTTCGATTCTCGGAGTGGAGACCCCACTCTTAGTTTCACCTTCCCGAATTCTTGAAGTGGAAATTCCACTTTGAGTTTCCTTTGTAACTAGAGATAGAATATAAAATTCTTCCTTTCTAGTATCTGGTTCGTCTTTACCCCAAGGGAAGACACCATCCTTCAACTCTAAAATCCGTGCTTCACACGCATGGAGAATTTTATCCTAAAGCCTAAGTAGGGATAAGTCAACGCCTAACACGTGATTCTAGTTTAGTCTTTCATCGAGTGAAGAAGACACCAGAATCCAAATCTGGGGAATTTTGTCCCGAAGCCTAAGTAGGGATAAGTCAATGCCTAACACACGTTATCGGTTAGTCCTTGATCGTAAAAAGGATAAAAGCCCACATGTTCGATATTGTGGCTGGTTGTTATTAATAATACCATAATCTGTGCCTTACACGTATGAGGAATTTTATCCCGAATCCTAAGAAGGGATAAGTCAACACCTAACACGTGTTTCTGGTTTAGTCTTTCACCGATTAAAGAAGACACCAGAATCTAAGTTTGGGGAATTTTATCCCGAAGCCTAAGTAGGGATAAGTCAGCGTCTAACCCGTATTATCGGGTAGTCTATTCCCGTGAGAAAGACGAAGTCTACATATTTAATATCATAGCACTAAGAGAGTTGACTCTCTTAGCACAACGTTACATGCAGAACAGACTTAAACAATCTATATGCTAGCCCGACTCAAACGGTAGTTGGTAAAGGCTCATCAAACCCGTTGATGGCTGAGCATTTGCTAAAAATCCTATAAATAGGAGAGTCGTTGACGCACCAACTCCATTAATTTGTCTCGTGACTTGAGAATCCAACAACTTCAGGATAAAATCCATACATGCAGATGAATCAGCTTTAACAGTTGGTCCTACAGCCCTAACATTTAGGACCGCCACACTCCAATGCCTTAAGAGCTTAAACTGTATAGACTCCAGCAAATGTATGAGTATAAATTATGTTAATGCTGGTCAACGCATCGAAAATTTTGCCAAAATAAGGCTAAGGAAAAATTCCGGATTAAAGAATGATTCTAGGGAGTTCAATTGCGATCTAGATATGAATTCTCGACGAAGACGATCAGTTCAACATCAACTCAACGACATGAGCTAAGTTCAAAAACTTACACATCAACTTCAGTTCAAGATTTTGACAATGGTCAGATGATAAATGCAGCACCGGAAGAACTTTATCTATTCGACAGAATACTAAGTAGATTGAAGACTGAAGAAGTCAAGAATTGAAGCCATTCACAGGTCCTTCTACGCGATTTCCTCAATAAAATACTAAATAAATTGAAGACAAGGCCTATCTTATCCAAAACATTCCAGACTTTTCTATAAAAGAATGAGTCTGAAATACTTTGGAGGGGGTATCTGTAGGCGTCCAAAAACGCCCATAGGTTCCCGTACGTAGCTCAAGACAAAGAAAAGATGATGAATGTCATCATTCGAGTCAAGAACGATTATCCAAGTGGCCCGCATGCTTGTCGGTTAGCTCCAAGTGCCCGTCGCGCTTGTCGGTTAGCTCCAAGTACCCGCCGTGCTTGTCGGTCAACTCCACGTACCTGCCGCACTTGTCGGTCAGCTCCAAGTGCCCACCGCGCTTGTCGCTCAGTTCCAAGTACTGTAAAGAAGCTAACAAGCGCATAAAACAAGTTAGCGAAGCGTACAAGTCAACAAGATGATCAAATATGCAAAACGGCAGAAAGTACAAGTCCCGAAAAGTCACAAAGTGCCAAAGAGTTTAGCCGAGGCGGCTAACTCGTGCCAGCACGGGACAATGCTAGCTGACCCGTGCCAGCACGAGTCAGCAGGAGCTTGTAGGCATCTAAAATGCCCATAGGTTCCAGCACGTAGCTCGAGACGAAGAGAAGATGATGAACGTCATCATCCGAATCAATAAGGATTATCCAAGTGGCCGACGCGCTCGTCGGTCAGCTCAAAGTGACCGTTACGCTTGTCGGTCAGCTCCAAGTGACCGTTGCGCTTGTTGATCAGTTCCAAGTGACTGTCGTGCTTTTCGATCAGTTCTAAGTGACTGTCGAGCTTGTCGGTCAGTTCTGAGTGCCTGACGCACGTTTCGATCAGCTTCAAGTACCGTAAAGAAGCTAACGAACGCATGGAGCAAGTTAGCAAAGCGTACAAGTCAACGAGACAACAAAATATGCAGAATGATAGAAAATAAAAGTACTACCCTCAGTAATTAGTTGGCGCATGATGCGGCGATCCCCTTCCCGTACCAACTTAGAGAGTTCATTCGGGATGTCCGAAGCAAACTGAGAAGTGGGCGGAATCGATGCTGGATCGTCAACAACAGTGTAATATCTACTCCTATGGCTATCTATCTCGAACGGAGGAAAGGGCATCACAGGGTATTCAACTGAAATGAATAATGCGTATTTATTAAACGTGGTTATGAAGAAATATTAAGGCAACACAGGGCGTTGAACTCTTTTTACCAATCCGTGGGATAGAGTCACTACCTTGTAATTAGCGAGACGATTTTAACTGTATCACGAACACAAAAGATAACATACATTGTCGCGCGAATAGCATGGTGACATACCCTATCTTACAGAACGCGATACAGTAAAAATCACCCCATATTGCCTTAAGATACGTCTTGACCAAGCAAAACGTATCCTATAAGCATCAACCCCTACAAAGGAGGGTTTCAACTCTTCCCAATTGCCTCACCAAGGAGGACAAAGCGGGGATATAATACAACAAAATAGGAAAAGTGTTTGATAGTTAGGCGAGACGATTTAAGTTGCATTATACACGTGTAGCACGATATACATTGTCACATGAATGACACGACAATCCAACCGTCCTCCGGAGTATAATACAATAGGAAATCGCCCCAAAATTGATTAAAACACGTTTTGACCAAGCAAAATGTATCCGATAAACGTCAACCCCCACAAAGGAGGGTTTCAACTCTTCCCAATTACCTCACCAAGGAGAACAAAGCGGGGATATAACATAGAAGCGTCCACCCCCACAAAGGAGGATATCAGCTCTTCCCAATTGCCTCACTAAGGAGAACAAAGCGGGGATGCAATATGCAATATGATATGATAAATACTTAATTCGTAAGCGAAAAAATATAAAGGATCACCAGCGAAACACAGAGGCTCCCTCTCAGGTGATTGAGTGGCTGAGCGACTCCTCAAAAAGCGTGATCTCCTCGTCGACATGGCTAATCTGCAATAAAGATCAACAGTTCAGTTAGATCAAGAATCGAGATACGAAAATCAAAGATTAAAAGGGAAATTACGAATCTTTGACTGAAATTCTATAAAATGGAATTTTCCAGTTGAAGGTCCAATTAAACCTATAAAACAACTCCGATGTAAATTGGGGCCAAGAAAATAAATGTATGAAGCTAGGGTAGCGAGTTCGATTCACGACCAATACACGAGCTAAATGCTTGGACATTTTTCTCTCAAAAGCCAAAAGTGGACACAAGCTCAATTCTTATATGTGGTTCAGGCTAAGGATTCAGACATGGTCACAAATCTCAAAAACTCGTATTCAAACCTCGCATACAATCAAATAAAGTGACTCAGTTGCTTGCAAGGCAAATTCAGACGACAACAAATTCCCTTTTAGAGCCCCTTATAAAAGTAAGAACCAGAACCTACACTGAGAGAAGGTTCGATGTATACAAGGAGACAAATCTAACAAGCTAAGTGTCTCATACAAGTTCACATCCATAATCAAGCATGACAGGTTCAATTCAAAGGCAAAATCAAGTCGAGGGTCGCAAAGCCAAACAAAGGGTCTCGGCCATGTTAACATGCAGAGTTACAAGCTCACAAAATCATCCGGAATTAGAGCATGGATATTAACTTGAGTTTCAAAACCATACACACATGAGCATGAACAAGAATTAAGTGATATCAAGTTATCCTAAGGATTCAATATTGACAAATATTAGAAACTAAGCTTCGAAGAAGTTCGATTCAAGCCCCATATGTAATCAAACCAGTTAAAGGAGTTCGGCTATCAAGTTACAAGCTCTCAAAACACAATCACTAGAATAAGCAAGGGGATGAACCAAATAGTCCCAACAACCAAACGATAACTTCAGTTTTCATCCAAAATTCAACCAAAGAAATTCGACTCACACAAAACCGAGAGCCTCAATTCACACTCGAGGACAAAACCAAGAGGAGCGGGTCTCAAATACCCAAATTAAGCACCCAAGTCCTCGACCGTCATTCAAAATCCAACCCACATATCAAAATCAAAGTCTCAGCCATACCCAATTTTGAAAGCTAAATCGTCAATTAAATTGATGACGAAGGGAATACAACTTTACCTGTGAGCAAATGAAGAACTGAGAATCAAAAGGGGAGATCACAAAGAGCAAATTCAAAATTCCCGAACAGCAGGGGAGAACTTCGGTTCCTATCAAATTCAAGAAAGAAGAAGAAGAGGTTAAAGTTCTGATCCTCCTACAATCCAAAGTGCAAGGGTTCATGGGTTTGATACTCACCCGAAATGAAGAAGGTGACCTTTGGGGAAAGAAGAATCCACAACAATCAACTTGAACACAAACAAACCCGAAGCCCTAGGTTTGGAGGAAGAACTTAGGGTTAAAATCAAATTTAAATTGGGTCAGGCAACCAAATTAAACTTCAATCATGAAGCTCACCTGGATTCGAAAAGGAATCGAGAAGAGGAGAGGCCTGTCGAAACAAAATCAACCGATGCTCAGACCCAAATAAAAAAAATCACCGAACCTTAGCTTACCTTGCTTGTAGATTTGAGGAAGTTGAGGGATTTAAAAGAGAAGAGGATAAGGGATTAAAGGGCTTGAGGGAGCTGTGATCTTGTTTTGAACTTTTGAAGAAGAAGAAGTCTAGAAGAAACTGAACTTGGGAGAAAGGAGGTTTGATGAGGGAGGAGTCCTTTTGAAGCTGATGAATTCTCTGAAAGGGTTATAAAGTGAAGAGGAAGAGGAAAATATGGGTCTTTAACACTTAGCCACAAAATAAAATTCACCTTCTGACCCGCAATCAAGCGAGACAGCATTTGCCGACCCGCTCGAGTGCGGGACAGCTTGTTGCCGACCCGCTAGACCTTAGGATAGCACATGCTGACCCGTTTGAGTGCGCGGCAGTGTTTGCTGACCCACTCACAGAGTTGACCCGTGATCGATTTTTGTTACGGTATTTTCACCCCTTTCTATCCAATTATTGATGTATTTAGGATCTATATTTCTACTCCAATGGGTATACGAGTCTAAACTGTTTCCCACCACTGACGGGAAGTTTCTGGTGAATATTACGTGTAATATTTTTAAGGATAACTCGGCAACCTCCAACGGGTACACAAGGCTAAACCGATTCCTGAAACCCTAGTTGACGTATGAGTATAAATTGTGTTTACGCTGGTCAACGTGTAGCCCTATGACAACGTCGGTCAATGCGTTATGATGAAAGTCAACACAGGTCAACACGTGGCCCTAGATCAACATCGGTCAACACGTGGCGATGGAAGTCAACGTCGGTCAACGCGTGGTCCTAGGTCAATGTCAAGCAACGCGTTGCGATGAAAGTCAATGCCGGTCAACACGTAGCCCTAAGTAAACGTCGATCAATGCGTAGCCTTATGACGATGCCGGTTAACGCGTAGATTTATGACAATGCCGGTCAACACTGTTGAATATCATGTCTCCACGATATTATTTTGATGATAACAATTTATACTATGTGTGTTATACAAATGCACTAACATTTATATGCAGCTTTAAACATCAAATATGATCAAGTGCAAGATGAGTTCAAGGCATTATGAAGTAAAGAAGATTAAAAACATATACAACAATGTAATTTTGTTTTACATTTTTCTTTACTTAGAAATATTGTACAAGCCTTGATCACTCACACACACACACACATAGAGATTAGAACACACTAGCACAGGCTTAGTGTGTTGGTTAACTATAGAAATTCGCTATGTTAACCATTAGAGTTTATAGTTAATAATTGAGTGTTAAAACATTTAATTCATATCATTTTTAACCCTTAGTAGTCGACTAATTAGAATAGTAGTCGACTACTCAAGCCTATGACTGAAATATAAGTTTTTGTTAATTTATAGTGTAGTCGACTAATCTACTTTATTGTAATACCCCAACCCTTGAGAGGGTGATGTGATTAGTATTGATAGATTTGATTGGAATACTCATACCACCAAGATGCATATTCTTTTTGGGAACCCAACTCTTAGAAACTCCAAAGTTAAGCGTGCTTGGCCTGGAGAAATTCTAGGATGGGTGACCCCCAGGGAAGTTTTTCAGGGAGCGCGTGAGTGAGGACAAAAACGTGTTGAAAAGACATGTGATGGTTTGTGAGGCCAGTCCATCAGATCTAATAGCGTACCGACTCTGGGATTCCGTGACGGGGCATTACAAATGGTATCAGAGCAAAGCCAACCGGAATTGTGAGAGCTAAGTGCTATGCGGTGCAAAGTGCTACATCGAGAGGGCGGGAGCCACCTCTTGAGGCTGTAGGAGCAACCTTTAGAATCTCACATGGATGGTACGGTCTTGGATGATATGATTTGGCGCAAAGAGGACGTTGCGAGTTTAAGTGTGGGAGTTTGTAATACCCCAACCCTTGAGAGGGTGATGTGATTAGTATTGATAGATTTGATTGGAATACTCATACCACCAAGATGCATCTTCTTTTTGGGAACCCAACTCTTAGAAACTCCAAAGTTAAGCGTGCTTGGCCTGGAGAAATTCTAGGATGGGTAACCCCCTGGGAAGTTTTCCAGGAAGCGCGTGAGTGAGGACAGAAACATGGTGAAAAGACATATGGTGGTTTGTGAGGCCAGTTCATCAGATCTAATAGCGTACCGACTCTGGGATTCCGGGGCTAGGCGTTACATTTATAGTCGACTACAAGAGGCAAAAACAACTTCTCAAGTTTCTGTTAAATTTCTGTAATTTTACAGTATAGTCAACTAATCAACTTTATAGTCGACTACTAAAGGCAAAATCTGTTTTTCAAGTTTCTATCTGATTACAGTGTTGTCGACTAATAATCATTATAGTCGACTACTAAAAAATTTTCTGACTTCACAGAGTCTGTTAAGACTCAGTGTAGTCGACTACTTTGTCCTGTAGTCGACTACAGATATAGTTTTTTCAGAATTCTAAGTTTGAATTAGTGACAGTTTATAGCCGTTTTTAAATGTTTTTAAAGTTTAAAAAATTATCTTTCAAGGGCTATAAAAAGGTTATTTGTTCAGAAAAATGAACCATGAATACATACTCATAAGCTTTGTTCTTTGTGCATGTTTCAAGAATAAAAATTTCAGATTTTGTTGAAAATATTGTTTCTGAAATTGCCTTTCATCCTCATTCAAATTACATATTATTTAGGCAATTTCCAGGGCTAAAATTATTCCTAAGCCACTGCTACACAACACTACAAATCAAGGCTTATAGGAATTGAGTTGTTTGATTCAAGGAAAGTTCTCTCGGTTTGAGAGAGGTTAATCTCTTGGTCTAGAGATTGGTGTGCAATTATCGGTTTGAGAGAGGTTAATCTCTTGGTCTAGAGATTGGTGTGCAATTAGCAAAGTTTTGTCAATTGGTATTGTAATTTACAGGAACTTGCAAATCGGTCAGGTTTCGTTTTAATTTTGTACTTGGTTCAAAATTATAGTGGAAATCTCAAGCGAGATTTGCTTTGGGACTGGATGTACACCGGATTGGTAGAACCAGTATAAAATCTCTTGTTTGTGATTGTGATTTTCTGAGATTGTTACCATTCTTTATTGCAATTTATTATCTACTTTGCATAAATTTTAAAAGAACACTATTCACACTCCTCTAGTGTTCTAGTGTATCTATTTCAGATCCTACATTTGGTATCAGAGCAAGGTGTAAGATGGCGTCAACAAATATATCACAATTCAAAGAAGGTCATTCTACAAATCGTCCATCAATGTTCGATGGATTGAACTACAACTATTGAAAGTGTTGAATGAAGATTTACCTTCAATCAATTGGTTACGAACTTTGGAACATTGTGGAAACAAGATACAAGAAGCCATCAACTCCATTTTCAGAATAGACTACTTCACAAAGAAATAATGCAAATTTGGATTCTAAAGCAATGAACGCTTAATTCTGTGCACTTGACAAGAATGAGTTTAATAGGGTGTTAACGGACATATCTGCATACAATATTTAGCACACACTCGAGGTAACTCATGAATGTACAAATAAGGTTAAAGCATCTAAATTTTCTGTTCTTGTACACAGATTCGAATTATTTAAGATGAAGAAAAATGAGACAATTAGAGAAATATTCACAAGATTCACCGACATTACAAATTATCTCATTGGTCTTGGAAAAACATACACTCAAGTGGAGATGGTAAGAAAAATACTCCGATCACTCACTTCATAATGGGAAAAGAAGGTTACCGTAATCGAAGAAGCAAATGATTTGTCAATTCTTACGGTTGAGAACCTTATCGGAAACCTCATAAATTGAAGATAGAAAGAATGATGATGAAACAAAGAACAAGAAAGTGCTTGCATTCAATATTACTTCCGATAAAGAAGATTCGGATGATGATGAAAAGAACAAGAAAGTGCTTGCATTCAATATTACTTCCGATAAAGAAGATTCGGATGATGATGAAGAAATAAGCATGTTTGCACGTAAATTTCAAAAATTCATAAAACAAGGTAAGTACAAATCAAAAAGTTCAAATTCAAATAACTTACTTTGTTTCAAGTGTAATAAACCAGAGCATATAAAGAAAGATTGTCCATTGTTGAAGAGGAAGTAAAAATCAAATTATTTCAATAACTTCAACAATATTCAAAACAACAAGAAAAAGAAAGCTATGGCGGTTACTTAGGATGATAGTGATGATTCATTTTCGAATGAAGAAATTAAAGAAAAGGAAAGTGCTCATATGTGATTTATGGCACAAGATGAAGTAAGTGACAATGAAGAACTTTTAGATGCTTTTAATGAATTATATGAAATCTTTTTGAGATTAAAGGCTTCACATAATTTTCTTAAAGGTGAAAATAAAAGAATACTTGAAGAAATTTCAGATTTTAATTCATCTACAAATTCTAATTCTCAAGCAATTAAATTAAAAGAAGAAAATTATTCTTTGCTTAAAGACAATCAATGTTTATCTAATGAGAACGTTTATCTAAAATCAGAATGTAATAATTTAAATATTCACATTAATAGTTTAGATAAAGATATTCCTTCTATTAAATTAAAATATGATGATATATGTTTAAATGTTAGTAAATTCAATAAAGGTAAAGAAAATCTTGATAAAATACTTTCTTTTCAAAAGGAATCTCAAAAGACAAAAGGTTTAGGTTTTCAAGTTAATACAAATATATCGAAAAAAACCATTTTTGTAAAACCTTCTTGTAATATAAATGATGATATATATAAAAAGAAATCAAATTTTTTTCTTCTATTTGGGTGCCTAAAGAGTTAACTTCATTACATAAATTTTTTTATATTTTTTATTATATTAAAAATGTTTGTTTATCAACTAACTATTTAGGCAAATCAAACTTTCCATGGGTTTGGTTTCCTAAAGGCTAATTTCATGGACTCAACATAGCATGGGTACTAAATTTATAAATGTTTATCATTTCAGGTACCCAAGAAAGATAGGTGGACTTTGGATAGCAGTTGTTCCAAACATATGACTGGAAACATACAATTGTTGTCATCTTTTCAAAATAAGGATGACGGTACTGTCACTTTTGAAGATAACAACAAAGGAAAGGTCATCGGTATTAGAACTGTTGGTAATCCAAACAAACCTATTATTGATAATGTTTTATTAGTTGATGGTCTTACACATAATTTACTTAGTATAAGTCAACTTTATGATAAAGGTTTTAAAATTGTTTTTAAAAAAGAA